CAACACATGCCCAAGCATGTGACTTCTCTCTGGAGAAGCAAAGGCTGTATACGAAGGCTCTTCCGATGTCACTATTCCGGACCTTGTCGAGACGCGTAAGGCCAGCGACTCGTTTAAAAAAGCCCATTTCAAGCCTATTTCAGCAGCTTGTACCCGTGTTTGAAGTTTATCAGTGATGGTCTACGATTCATGACCGTAGGTAAGTAAAGGTATAAAGATCGACTTGAATATCGAGAGCTTAGTTTTCAGACTGAGCTCTGCTCTAGTCGACATGACTTATAACATAGAAAAATTTCGTTGCTGCTGAGAGTACAATTTCTGACAAGTCAGAGGTTGAATAACAGGATAGACTAGAATAACTGACTAAGACCGAACGCGACCGAAAGGTGCTATCTAACAAATAGGGCGTCCTTCGGCGTAGGGTCTGATTTCTTCAGATGTAGCGAATACTCGAAGATTTTGTTTTGAATGCCTAAACGGTGGGATCCATGAAGGTTGCTCCCATCGAACATTGATATCTTAACAAGGAACTGGGAATCTGAAGAGAATTTCATCCAAGCGCCATCGACCTAACCGTCCAATGTCTTCCGTCTAGGAATCATTCATAATTCATAGTTCGCCAACTCTTCGATTTGACTGAGTGTAGGATCAACAGCATTCATTAATTTTTGGTGAACAAACACTCTACAGGAGCAGTATTTTTTGTCAGCTAGGATTTAGAATTGTCTTGTTCTCATGACCATCAGGAAACAGACCATTTCTTTTAACACAGATCCACTGTTGAATTGTTTTAGCCATCCAGAAGATGCTATTGTACAGTAGCATATGGCACGGTCACTCATAATACCATATGCTTATGGCTGAATTCAAAGATCTGCTTCACTCTTTCAGTACGAATTTGTAATCAATCCATTTCACTCTTAGACAGACTAACCTTTAGGTCGAATAAGAATATCTGTTGAGAGCCTGAACGTTACGACTTTGATGAATGCACTCCTCGTCACTTGAACTGTCTGAATGAAATACATGTTTACTTGTCCCACTGTTCATTGTGCACGAAGTAAATCCTATCTTAGATTTCCGCACTGTATTGATTTTAAAAAAATTTCTCAGCTGATGAATATTCTGGTATATCCTTGGGGCAATTGTCACTGCAACCCAAATATGTATGCCCCTAATATTCGAACCAATATAGAGCAACAATAGATGATTCGAGTTGTCACTTGGTACCTCATATCCTTGCCGACTGGGTTTTTTTCGCATGCCTTTTTTTCCATTACAATCAGAGATTTTATGTCAAGCACCACAAGGAAATTTATTCGATGAGGGCGGCGCAGATGACCATGTTTTCCATGCTGATGCACTAGCAGGATCAGGAAGCTCAGTATGTTTTCGGCAAATTTTGCTGTATTGGTTACGCAGTGTTAGATGCCGCATTTTCTGGCTGTCGCTCGCATATAACAGCAGAAGCACCGTTTTTTGAACCGAGACTTCGCCGACTACTCGAGAGAATTTAAACGTCACTTATTCGTAATTGACAAGCACAAGTTGAGCGTAATTATCCTGCCGTCGAAGGCCATCTGTTATTTAGTGTCGAATGAAGCTGAACTATTTCAGGTAATCTTTCGAAAGGGTCTTCTCTGGGAACCGTGTACTGGCTGCTAACGCGTGGCAGAACAAAATAACGGTCGAAATGGCTCTTGAAACGCATGACTGTCGATGGGAAGAATATTTGGTCATTTGCTGTATCAGCGAACAGCGCTAACTACTTTCAGATGCTACACACCGTTGCAAATAAGTCAGACTTCATCATCATCATCTTGTTCTTGTTCTTCTTGTTCTTGTTCTTCTTCTTCTTCTTTTTCTTCTTGCTTGACCGCTTCTCCTTTGGGCTCGCAGAGCTTCCAACCTTCCCGATCCTTTGCCAGATCTGAGCTTCGGCAGAAGAGAACTGGTGTCTGCAACAGACTCCTTTAATATATCTGCACCAGGTTATTTTTGGCCGTCCCCTGGGCTATCTGTCGGTCGGTTGGGCAAGAAACAGCCGGACTTCACCAATTTTTAATTCTGTTGTTCAATTTTCACCAGCCGTAGACGGCTCTGTCAACAACAACAGATTTATCTGCCCCTGACGTTGTTCTGGTTTCACCTGTTAATGCAGTTGAAAATTTGCCTTCCGTCGTCACAGTTGTAGTTCGAAATGCGATTGCTGTATCTGGCAAACTTTGCCATCTGCTACGGGAATCGTCGAGCAGATGAAGCGCAGCTTTTTTGACTGGGCAAAATCAGGGCTAGCATAAAGCTAGATCAGCTACAGGTGCTGCTGACTGGTGCTGCTCTACGTGCACATGATTTTTTCGTTGTGCTGAATGAATACGACGTAGATCTAGTGGTCGTAGACGATGCCTTCCTTTCGCTAGAAGCACGCCAGATTTCTTACGTCTGTCATAAAGGCAACTTCCATAGTAGGCAGTAATTAACTTTGCTAAAGTTTGACCTCTGATCGAGTGCAATCATAAAATTCCGCTATCGAACTCTTAGTTCAACTCATCTGCCACAGTAATCTGATCATCGTGGCTTTAAATCTCACGTCCTAGATGGCAATTACATTTTTGGACCAACGTTTACTCAGACGATCTTACTAATGTTTGCGCTCACAAGCGTTGCAATACATAACAAGTCACGTTCAAGGCGTTGCGTTGTTCTCCCCGCCGACTCTGCCACAAGGTAGTCGGT